AAAAAAGGACAAACAGAGACAAACTCAATTCAATAAATGCAACAACAAATAACGCACAGCTGAAAAGAAATAACTGTAAGGACTGACTTCTGGTTAGACAAACATCCCCTACAAAAAAGTCGCCAAACCTTTTTGATCACCTTGTTTTCCAGGAAGATGTTGCTAACATATTTTAAGGAAATGTGTTTGGAAAAAAATCTAACAGATTCCAGATTTGAAAAAATCAAAAAAAAAAACGTGAGTTCTCTTTCAACAATTTTTAAAAAATATGTTGAGGTTTGGACTGTTGGTTGCGCAAAACATCCATCTATAATTCAGGTTAGGGTGGAGCCTATCGTAGCCGTCAGTGAGTAAGAGGCGGGGACTGGTCGTCTGTGTATTTTCTTGGTTAGTTGGTTGGTTAGTTGGTTGCTCCTCCCACAAAACCAGGATTTGGGCATCCAGCTTATGTCCCTAAAACTTCTCCTGATCTTGATTTTGACACCATGAGGTTGCCTGGCAACCACCAATCCACAGGCTAAAATGATCTGTTTTGAACATTTATTTAGCACCTTATAAAAGAATAGTTTCGTTCCATTACAGTAACGTATATTTTATTTTCAAAAACCTTCAGTTACAGCATACATGATAAATTATGATGCAATCAGCCAGCCAGCTGCCTAGCTGCAGGCTAGAATGACCTGTTTTTTGCCTTTATGAACCTACACCCCCTCATGCAACCATGTTAAGATCTTAATTTCACAACCAACTGCACAAACAGGCGTAACAAACTGTAGCTTGGGCATGTACTAGTTAACCTGACAAATGCCTTTCGACAGTTCATGTGCAGGGTTAATGCTGTGTAGAGGAACATTTATATCTAAATAACACAATTTTCCATAAATCTAACAAGTACATTTTAGTGCCTAAACCTGAGGCATTGGTGCCGAAGGACGCCTGTAATGAAAACGTGTTGAAATAACAATTTTAACTGAGACCTTGTGGAGAAGTAGTTCCCCATATGTGGCCTCAAGTGCAAAGCTTAAAGGCTAGAAAGATGTATCCTCTCAAGATCTTATCAATGTGTCAGAACTATTTAGAAACTGTGGTAATGTCTCACTAGGGGTGTTTGATGTCAATCTAGGACATCCTTAAACTTTTCTCTCCCAAAAAGAACCTCACACCCCAGAATTTTCAGCATTTTCAGTTGATATTTTAAATATCAGCATAATCACTCCAGAAAATTTCTGTTCGCTTAATAAGATCACATTTTTTCATTTTAGTTTCACTTAACGTTTCTACTGGTTGTTTCACATCCTGCCTACACCTGAGACCAACACACAGTTTGAATTTTTTCAACGAAATAATCTACAGTTTCAGAAAATAACAACTTAATCTTAAGAATGACTATTAACACTCCTGAACTACAGAAGCCAAGGAACTGCTTGCTCTTATTTATAAAAGAGAAACTATTTTGCACATTTCCAAATTCACATTTTCATTCTTGATCTCCAGTAAGGGAGCTTTGAATGATTCACCTTTTTCATTTATTTTATATTTACTATATTTAAAAAGAAGAAAATAAATGACTGTACTTTGCTCCTCATAAACAGAAACCTCTGAAAACATTTATGCTTTTTTCCTTTGTACTGGTGGGGTGGTGGGCATGTAAAACGCTCACAATATGCTATTTTTGCGGTGCACTTCATTTTCTGTATCTTTATCATCATGGTTCATGCATAAAATCGGGCTGTTATTGATGTATGATTCATGCAGGAGGGTGATTCATCATTCATTCACTATAATAAAGATAACAACGTGCACGCTACTCTTTCCAAGTTTGCTTTTCCTACCCACCTTTTTAAAAAGAAAATAATATAGTAAACTGAAGTTAGAAGCACGGCACTCTGGAAAACAAAGGTGCACTTATTTTGAGTCTGGGTTACAATGGTCTCTTCTGTTCTATCAGCAGTAAAGTTTACCACTAATAAACCTGAGACAAGCAGCCCTCTATATTCTCATCGCTCTTCATACCTCTGTGGAGAAAGATGTACAACAGAGGCACCTTTGTCTGTTCTTAGTAATATAATTAATAATGAAATTTGTTTATCTAAACAGATAACGACGTTTATTTTTTACATCACTGTTGACCAAACTGGCAGTTAAATGTTGGGTCATGCTGTTAAAACATGAGAAATGGTTCTGGTGGAATAATAGCAGTGAGTACATGTTTAGACCTTGAACTGGCGTCACTGTCGCTTGTGGTGGCTGGTCAGACTTCAGGCAAAGTCATCGTCAAAAAAAAATAAAAAAATAAATTATGTAACCTCAGCTTAAGAGGAGTGAGTTATCCTGACCTGTTTGAAAAGACAATTTATGTGAATTTAATATGTTGCACCAATGTCAAAGAGTGCTGTTTACATTCTCTGGTTGCATCACTTTTCAGATCTTCTGTACTGTTTATGTTCTTTGGACTTTGCATTGCTAATGAGTTCCTTACATAGAAAAATCATTCATTCATCCATTTTCTGCTTCTGATACGGTTCTGAGTTGCGGGGAAGCTGTCTGAGCAGAGATGCCCCGACCTCCCCCCCTGCAACCACCACCTCCAGCTCTTCCAAGAGGACAGTCAGGCATTCCCAAACCAGCCGAGAGATATAATCTCTCCATCATGTCCTGGGTCTGCCCCGAGGCACAAAACACCTTGCCTGGGAGGTGCCCAAGAGGCATCCTAATCAGATGCCCAAACCATCTCAGCTGGCTCCTTTTGATGTGAAGGAGTAGCAGCTCAACAATGAGTCCCTCCCAAATGGCCGAGATCCTCACTCTGTCTCTAAGGCTTAGCCCTGACACCCTTCAGAGGAAACTCATTTCCACCACTTGCATCCACAGTCTTGTTCTTGTTGGCTTGTTTGAAGGTGGCAGACCCTCCACCGCACAGATGGTTCAGACTGGACACAATCACTCCAAATCCTTATAAAAACATCACACAACCATGTAACCTCATCCGACTTGTGTATCGATTGGGACAAATGGTTAATTTGTGTTGAATAGATTAGTTCAGTGAAGTGTTTGTGTGTGGAGGGGGGGTTTCTAGCATGTGGCCTACATAGCTCTGGGCTATGCACGCCTTCTTTGTTTCCTGACTGTTATTCCTAAAAGCCCACCCTGATATAGAAAGCTAAAACCGTCCTCGGCTTTCATGTGTGACATGAGTCATAAAGACACGTTTTCATTTTATACGGAGATGATTCATGTCACTCTATCAAGATTTTAATTTTCCCTTCAAACAAACCAAAAATTAGCTGATGGGATGAATAATAAAAACTGATGGTTTGGTATTTTTAACTTACACATGAACAGTTTATCCAACTACACACACATAAAACCTTGTTGGCACTTTAAATGTATATACATATATATATATATATATATATATAAATTCATTCATAAACACAAACCTAAAACAGGTAATGTACAACTTTAGGAGTGACGATCAACAATTCAGAGAGAATGGTACATTTTTTCCTTAATTATACTGTGGACCTGTTCAAATACAGTCTCTTTATGTAATTTAAATATTTATCTATTTATAAATATATAAAAACTTCAACTTGAGTTGAAATGTCACTCAGCTTTTCCGAAATCACAGCAAAGCAAGTTTGAAAAAAGTGTTTCTTTGTTGCCATTTTCTTTGTTTGAACTTTTATATTTAATATTGTTGACGACATACCAATCATCTCTTCTGCACCACAACATATGAGTCAATGTGCGAAATCCTCCTCCGTCCAAACAATAACCACAAACATTAGAATTATTATTTTTTTAAAGTCCAGACTGTTTTGTGTGGGCTCCAGCAATCTGTAGCGCTCGCTGTGTGACCGGAATATTTGAATATTTGATTGAAAGGATGAGTAATTGTTTGCTATTCGTTTTTCAGTTTCACTTCTAACGTGCACGTTTCTAAAATAAAAGATAAGAAATACTTTATACAGTGTTTGTGACATACATGTATTCTAGAGAGCACTGTAAAATTAATGTGCTTAAATGTTTTAAGTGTAGAAAATTTACATTTATTTATAGTTTATCTGTTGTAGATAAAAATAAAAATAAAAATATTCAAAGCATATTATCCAAACAACTCACTGTGAAGGTTTCCAACTTTGAAGACATGAATTTATGAATTCATAAAAACTGGGCAACCGTGAGATTAAAGTAAGGAAGTTAAGAGACAATTTTATTTATTTATTTATTTATTTGATTGTAACTTGTGCATTTATAAGGAAAACAATTCCAAGTGGAACTCTAATGGTTGTCCTTTTTCTGTATTATAAGCATAGTTTTGATGGTGGATCCTCATATTAAACAGATCAGACTTTAGACTGTTTTTTCTACTCTTGGCTCTCTATGATGTCAAAGAGAGTCATCACAGACATGGAAGCCCCGCCCACTTTGTGTTTAAAGCTTTTGTTTAGCAGGATCAGCCAGTCAGAAGAAAGCTGGCTTAAAGAATGAGCTAACCCAGCTTGTTTTAAACAGATGGTAAATGGTAAATGGCCTGTATTTGTATAGCGCTTTACTTAGTCCCTGGCAAGCTACATTGTAGCCACAGCTGCCCTGGGGCGCACTGACAGAGGCGAGGTGAACTGAGGGCCTGCGCTGAAGCCCAGTGTAAGACAAATAAGGATTACTTTGAACAGTGAATCATGCAAAGCTACACTAGTCCAGAATTTAAGTATGGAGCCAGAAAGGAGCAGAATGTTGCAAATTAATGAGGAAAGTTACGGTTATTGGCAAAGGAAGTCTCTTCACTTTGCAGTTTTGGATAATCTTCATTGCACCAAAGCTGCACTGCAGTTTGTTTGGCTTTAAATGTATTTTTTTCTTGTTTGTAACTCCTCCCCCAAGCTTCACCTCCACGTCTTTGCTCTATATAATCTCAAATAGCTTTAATAGGTACACAGCTGTGCTGAATAAGATGAGAAAACATTTTGATGTATTTATTTCTTCGTGTCCTGCAGGGCGAGCTGTTGAGCCCCTGCCGCTGTGACGGCTCTGTGCGCTGCACCCATCAACCCTGCCTCATCCGCTGGATCAGCGAGAGAGGCTCCTGGAGCTGCGAGCTCTGCTACTTCAAGTACCAGGTCCTTGCCATCAGCACCAAGAACCCACTGCAGGTAAACACGAGGGGAGTCTGCAGCACAAACACGGTGAAGTCTGGGGAAAAAAACAAAGCCTCACACCTCTTGCTGTGATTATTACTGTTGCACAATTTGATCTAAAACACTGATAGTGAGTCTGTCCAGATGACTCACAGTGACTGCACAAACAAACCAGCACAGCGTGGCTCTGTCCAACGTGCTTTTTGACTAAGATTCAAAGTATTGGATAAACAGCCACATAAACAAGATGATGATGGCGTGTGAATATGGAAATGATGACAAAATGCTCTCTCCTCTCTGAGGTGCTAGCTCCTAAAACACATGGGCGATGGAGGCAGGAAGATTTAATGACGTGGAAAGAGGAGCTGCTGCTGTCAGCTAACCTTTCATAATAAAATATACAAACGCTGCTGCAGCAGACCCAACACTCTTTTGCCTGAACAAATCTCTCAGCCGTCGCTGTGGTGTGAGGACTGTTTGCCATATTGTGCTGACACATTTTCCCTCTGCGTCACTGTCCGTCTGCCCTCCTTTTCAGAGGCAGCCAATCGCTCTAAAACCTATTGAAAAGATGCCATGTGTGTGTTGGTGTGTGTGTTAACTTGTCAAATGTGAGGATTTTTCTCTCTCTGGTGAGATGTAATGTAGAAGATTGGTGCAGTGTGACTAAGTATGCACAACTTGCAGGTACTCTTGCATGTCCACGCTGTGCTGCTTTACTCTGACACTCCGATGTTAGGAATGTCGCACTTTCAGCTTCACAAGACTTAATAGACTTAAACTGCTTTGTAAACAGATTACAGGGGAAATCGTGTGATAACGCTAAGGCTCTGTGTTTTTTTGTTTTGGTCCCTCTGCTCGTTCTTTTCATGTTCATGCTTTCTTGGTTTCCCCAGTGTTTCCTTGTTTTTGTCTTCCTCTGATCTTCTTCCCTTGTCTTTATTGTTTCCGCTTCCTGTTTTGTTATGCTTTGGTAATTGCTTTTCCTCGGGTGTCTCCTGTGCATTTACTTCCTGTGTCTGTGGCTTTTCTCCTTTGTGATGGTCTGCCCTGTCTTTATTGTTTCCACTTGTGTCTTGTCGTGTTTTTTGTGTGTGTGTGTGTGTGTGTGTGTGTGTGTGTGTGTGTG